AGATTGGAGTTGTTACAGAAGATTGGAGTTGTTACAGAAGATTGGAGTTGTTACAGAAGATTGGAGTTGTTACAGAAGATTGGAGGTGTTACAGAAGATTGGAGGTGTTACAAGAGAGCAGAAGATTGGAGGTGTTACAGAAGATTGGAGGTGTTACAAGAGAGCAGAAGATTGGAGTTGTTACAGAAGATCAGAGGTGTTACAGAAGATTGGAGTTGTTACAGAAGATTGGAGGTGTTACAGAAGATTGGAGGTGTTACAGAAGATTGGAGGTGTTACAGAAGATTGGAGTTGTTACAGAAGATTGGAGGTGTTACAAGAGAGCAGAAGATTGGAGGTGTTACAGAAGATCAGAGGTGTTACAGAAGATTGGAGGTGTTACAAGAGAGCAACATTTTACATACAAAGAAAAGCCCATGGAGAGGTAAAGACGACGACAGATATTTGATAAGAAAGGAGCCAACCACAGCAGAACACCCACCACCCACCCACAGCTTGGAGTACATTGCAGTACAATCCTGGCAAGGCACCCTCTAAAACACACACATTCAAACAGACTGTCCCCGTGGTTTTATGCACCCCGCATAATTTAGCAAAATTTGATCATTTTTTGGGTGCATAATTTCTGATTATTTTCCTTTATCATTCTTTGTTAAATTGAACAGAATCGCATAATTTCACATTTTTGGGCTCAGTTTACATGATTTCAAAATTGTTCTTGTATAAAACGACGGGGACAGAACAAACACATTCCACCCTACGGGTGAGGACAGGAAATCTAGTCCTCGATCCTAAGCAAGGGGAAGGAACCCACCTCCCGTGAATACAAGCGTTGAAAAAACACATTTTTAAAATACTAAACATAGGCCAAAAATCTCCAAAAAATATTAGTTTGAAAGAGAAATGAACACAGCTTCAGAAAAATATAACTTTATATGCACAGACTGTTGGAAATGTTCAAACTTTAGTTCAATCGGGGTGTCCGACCCGTCACTCTCACTCTCAGCCTCGCGGTTGGGCCCTGAATCTAAATTCTACATCTGATCAATCTGAATGGCCCCAAACTCTAGCAACGTTTCATCAATATTTTATTCATCTGATTTCTCATTTGCTTTTACTTGCTCTATATCTAATCCATCGTTATTTCCTTTTTCAAAATCAACTGCGTCGCTTTTCAACAAGTTGAGACACCTTCCAAGTGTCGGAAACATGATCGCACTTCCATCGGCTCTGAAAGTGAAACTACTGGTCGGAAAAGTTTCATTTCTGTATCAAACGGCAAAAGAAACATTTGGCAATAACTATGTAAAACGGAATCTCTGCCCCAGAGTCTCGTCAAGGCGATACTTTGTTTCTAAAGACGCTAGGTCAGAGCGGGTGGTTGCGGGCGAGTTAGGGTGGAGCGTGGAGGGAAATTCCCGGGCAACCGCAGGCGAGTTAGGGTGTAATGTGGTAAAAAACAACCCCCAGCACCGTGCCCCCAGCGCACCGTGCCCCCAGCGCACCGTGCCCCCAGCACCGTGCCCCCAGCACCGTGCCCCCAGCACTGTGCCCTCCTCTGTACCCCACAGAGAATGACAACACAATGGTAACCACTCACTTTTGGTCTCGGGCGCGTCTGGCAAGAGTTCGAGCCCCAAGTCTCTGGTGGACATCCACGCGGCAAAACAGTCCGACTCATCCAGGTGGATGGTGAGTAACTGCAGACACAGAGGTCATAGGTCAACAGTGAGCAGCTACACACACAAAGGTCAGAGGTGAGCACCACAAATCTAGCGGGGAGTTTTACATGCAACAGATACCATACATTCCCAAATTGTAACATTTTTTTTTTTTAAAACGAACAACAAATTCGTCTAAATTTGGGAGAGGTACACCATAACATGTGGCCAAAGGTTTCGATTTCGTACACAGCATCTGAGCAGAGGAAAGAGAGGTAAACCGTGAAGGCTGATGTGTGTGTGTGTCAGAGCTTGTACTCTGTGAGGGAGGAGGAGGAGGAGGAGGAGGAGGAGGAGGATGACGATTTTCTGTTTGTTTCTTTAATGGGCCTGGTGGACTCCACGAAGAAAAGTTTGAGCGAGAACGAAGCTCTTTTTGGGCTTCTTTGTCAATATACATAGAGGCACCTCCTCTCGTCCAAATAACTCCATTTGAGTTGCCATTGTTCCTGGACATTGAAAACATATGTTTGACATCCTGATAATGATAATGATGATGATGAAAATGATGAGATAATGATAATGATAATAATGAGAAGACCTCGACTGACCCCTGTCTTGAGATCCACCGAGAACCAGTTGGGCACATACACCATCTTGAAATGTGTTTTCACAATCTCCTCAAAGTCAGCCTTTCCGTACTCTTCAACTTTCCTTGCCTGCAACCAAACAACAAAACTAGCAATAATAATAATAAATGACATTCACATAGCACTCAACCCCGAATAAAGTACACAGGCTCTGAGCGCTTTACAATACAGTACAACATACAACGGTAACATAAAACGTCCTGTTCTGACTAAAGAAAATTATTCCAAATATTCATCTTATTAATTTAAAAACAGAAACGACTTCAGCTGACATCTGAATGAATCAAAAGATTTGATTTCTCTCAAAGTACTTGGTAAAGCATTCCAGATCTTGGGGCCTTGGTATTCAAATACCCTTTCACCTTACTACTTCTACTACTAATATAGGACATTTATATAAGAAATAAAAATGTAAAAGATCTTTGAGATTTACAACCAACGCCCACAGCAC